CCAGTGGAGGGATTGGCAGAGAGGGGTGGAGGCCAGTGGAGGGATTGGCAGAGAGGGGTGGCTGATACAGAACGGTTAGTAAGGTGGATGAGTCTGGCAGCAGCATTCATGATAGACTGAAGGGGGATAGCCTGCGGTGAGGTCGGCCAATGAGTGAGTTACAATAGTCAAGGTGAGAGATAACCAGGGAGTGAATAAGTTGCTTAGTGGTTTAAGAGGTTAAAAACGGGCGATTTAATTTTTTCCCTGTTGTCTTCTTGCCATTCCGATTATGTTACCAGGACTTCCTCTTCTTGCTATGGGGGGGGGGGGGGGGGGGGGATTTCTTCCAGTACTTTCAGTTCCTGGAGTACTGTGAGCCCAGCCTGTGTTGCACCTCCTGGGGGAAGTGTAAATAACAGGCTGGGCTCACGGGAAATGGGCACAATGACAGAAGAGGACCTCTGGTGGGGGACATACCTGGACCGAGGAGGAAAAAGGAACTGGCCTTGATTAGAGGAGGATGTCTGGAAAGACACTGGACTAAAAAGGAAGTCTGGGGACAGCACTGGGCCGAGGAGGACTTCTGGAATAGCACTGGATCCAGGAGGAAGTGTGGAATGCCACTGAACTGAGGAGGAAGTGTGGAACGGTACTGGACCGAGGAGGAAGTCGAAGGTGCTGTACTGAAAAGGAAGTCGGGGATGGCCCTAGACCAAGGAGGAAGTCGGGGACGCTGCTGGACCAAGGAGGAAGTCGGGGACGCTGCTGGACCAAGGAGGAAGTCGGGGACGCTGCTGGACCAAGGAGGAAGTCGGGGACGCTGCTGGACCAAGGAGGAAGTCGGGGACGCTGCTGGACCAAGGAGGAAGTCGGGGACGCTGCTGGACCAAGGAGGAAGTCGGGGACGCTGCTGGACCAAGGAGGAAGTCGGGGACGCTGCTGGACCAAGGAGGAAGTCGGGGACGCTGCTGGACCAAGGAGGAAGTCGGGGACGCTGCTGGACCAAGGAGGAAGTCGGGGACGCTGCTGGACCAAGGAGGAAGTCGGGGACGCTGCTGGACCAAGGAGGAAGTCGGGGACGGCCCTAAACCAAGGAGGAAGTCGGGGACGGCCCTAAACCAAGGAGGAAGTCGGGGACGGCCCTAAACCGAGGAGGAAGTCGGGGACGGCCCTAAACCGAGGAGGAAGTCGGGGACGGCCCTAAACCGAGGAGGAAGTCGGGGACGGCCCTAAACCGAGGAGGAAGTCGGGGACGGCCCTAAACCGAGGAGGAAGTCGGGGACGGCCCTAAACCGAGGAGGAAGTCGGGGACGGCCCTAAACCGAGGAGGAAGTCGGGGACGGCCCTAAACCGAGGAGGAAGTCGGGGACGGCCCTAAACCGAGGAGGAAGTCGGGGACGGCCCTAAACCGAGGAGGAAGTCGGGGACGGCCCTAAACCGAGGAGGAAGTCGGGGACGGCCCTAAACCGAGGAGGAAGTCGGGGACGGCCCTAAACCGAGGAGGAAGTCGGGGACGGCCCTAAACCGAGGAGGAAGTCGGGGACGGCCCTAAACCGAGGAGGAAGTCGGGGACGGCCCTAAACCGAGGAGGAAGTCGGGGACGGCCCTAAACCGAGGAGGAAGTCGGGGACGGCCCTGGACCGAGGAGGAAGTCGGGGACGGCCCTGGACCGAGGAGAAAGTGTGGCGCGCCGCTGGACCGAGGAGAAAGTGTGGCGCGCCGCTGGACCGAGGAGAAAGTGTGGCGCGCCGCTGGACCGAGGAGAAAGTGTGGCGCGCCGCTGGACCGAGGAGGAAGTGTGGCGCGCCGCTGGACCGAGGAGGAAGTCGAGGATGCTGCTGGACCGAGGAGGAAGTCGAGGATGCTGCTGGACCACGGAGGAAGTCGAGGATGCTGCTGGACCACGGAGGAAGTCGAGGATGCTGCTGGACCACGGAGGAAGTCGAGGATGCTGCTGGACCACGGATCGAGGATGCTGCTGGACCACGGAGGAAGTCGAGGATGCTGCTGGACCACGGAAGAAACCGGTGGTAGCACTGGACTGAGGAGGAAGTAAAGCCAGGTGTTGGATTGCGGAGGAATTTAAGGACAATGCTGGACCAGGAGATAGTTGTGAACGTCCTTGAAGCCTGGAGAAGGTAAGGGATTATTAGCTTTTTTTTTTTTTTTTTTTTTTTTTTTTTTTTTATAATTCTTTCTTTTTTTGTTTAATAATCTGAGAAGTCAACCAGGATTAACCAAAAATAAGTTGCGTTTCCTGTGAAGGGGCAGATATGTCCATCTCCTTCCATTATTAGTGTGGGGAGGACGGTCGTGTTGTGTAAAGCAGGTATGAAGTCACATGGTGGTGATGTGGAAGGAAGGAATGTGAACAATGTGCCTCTTATCTCCCTGGCCTGACATTCTGGAGGAGAGAATTGTAATGGCTGTTTGTAAAGTGACTAATAGTGACAGATCTGTGCGCTGCCATTCCCCGGCCCCTCGTGATGTTTGTGTTCGTTATGTAACTTCCCAGCAGTGTTACCTCCGAAAAGCTGTTTTTTTTTTTCCTTTTTGTTGGGCGGCGGGGAGGCAGATTGCGTGTTCCATGCACATCATTAAAAGCTCTTTTGTGGTTCAGAGACGTTCTCAACAAATATCATATTTAATGGCTGGAAAATGAAAGGGTGGAAATCCACAAAGGACGCCGCTCTTGGTTTTATCTGCTTGTTAAACATCAGTAGCGTTTGGTGGTCGGGACAGAGAGCGTTCACAGGGAGAGCGACGAATGGCGGCCACCTCCTAAAGAGCGCTTGGTGGCTTTTAAAGCAGTATTAAACCCAAATCCAAAATTGGACACAATTCAAATCATTAACAATCACAGATAAAGCAGTGAAGAGAGGTTTTCAGAGATTGCCTAAAAGTGGGCAGAGTAGGCAGTAGTCTGATAAATTGGGGTAGAGAGTTCCAGAGGATGGGGGAAGCTCTGGAGAAGTCCTGGAGACAAGCATGAGAGGAGGAGACAAGGGAGCTAGAGAGCAGGAGGTCGTGCAAGGAGCAGAGAGTACGGTTTGGGTGATATTTGGAGACAAGATCGGTGATGTAATTTGTGGCAGAGTTATAAATTATTACTGTATAATAATAATAAATAATAATAATTTATAACTCTGCCCCAAATTTCATCACTGATCTTGTCTCCAAATATCACCCAAACCGTACTCTCCGCTCCTCGCACGACCACCTACTCTCTAGCTCCCTTGTCTCCTCCTCCCATGCTCGTCTCCAGGACTTCTCCAGAGCTTCCCCCATCCTCTGGGACTCTCTACCCCAATTTATCAGACTATCGCCTACTCTGCTCACTTTTCGGCGATCTCTGAAAACCCATCTCTTCAGGGAAGCCTATCCTGCCCTCAGCTAATACTGGAATCTTCTACTCTTCCTACCATTCCATCCCCCACAGTTACTACCTTTTGTACCACTAGCCCCTCCCTCCTAGATTGTAAGCTCCAAGGATCAGGGCCCTCCTATCCCTTGTATTGAACTGTATTGTTCCTGTATTGTCTCCCTTTATATTGTAAAGCGCTGAGCAAAACTGTTGGCACCATAAATCCTGTATAATAATAATATTACAAATTTCCAATCCTTAGTTGTGGTGGCTGCATTAGCTTTCTTTTTTTTTTTTAGGCTTTTTCCTCCTCTGTTTTTACCTGGTGATCTGGCCAGTAACACACCCACCTGTATTGAACCCCCCCCCCCCCCACTCTGGATGGAGGAGCAACAGAGACACCTTTTGCACAGCAGCATTGTCAGTCTGGGGGAGGGAAGTGTTACTAGCAGATTTATACACTAACAAATTAAAGCCGAACCCCATCTCACACTTTATAATCAGTTAACCTTTTCTTTTCTCCTTTTTTTTTTTTTCCCCTAAATGAAAGCTGATCATTGTAAGCACCCCCTGTCAGTGGTAAATGGTTTGTCTCATCTCCTGTACCGGCTGCATTTGCAGGAGAACTTGTTCTTTTGAAAAACGGTCTTACTGGCCAGATCCCCAGGTGAAAATAAAAGAAGCCTAAAATAGAAAACTAATGCAGCCGTCACATCTAAGGAGAGCGGTAAGCTGCAGTATAATAAATGGTTTCTTTTGTTGCTTTAATGACTACACCGCATGTTGGCACGTTTTTAGGTGGTGGAAAGCATGCAAGGCAGTAGATTTGGTGGCCTTTATGCAGATTCATGGGCAATACTCCTACTGTGAGTGGGCGCCATCCGAAGCGGCCTCAAATCTAGGAACACAAAGTGGGGCTTTCTAATCTGTGCAGCTGCCTAGAAATTAATGGACTGCCTGTTAATTATTTATTTTCTTATTTTTAACCCATGGCGCTGACCCGTTGTGTAGTGAGGAGTGGAGGGAAGGATTTTGTCTCGATGATTAAGTGTTACTAAACCCACAACAGTACAATCAGTCTGTATATGCAGTAAAGCATGCTTGTTATACTCACTGTGGAACCTAAGGGGTGAATTCTCTGCATTGTGTAAAAAGGCTGTTTGATCCTGACTTCTCTGATCCCGACTTATCTGATCCTCCCCTTCTTCCAGTGCCCCCCCTCTTATCTCTGGATAAGACATATAGTGTGGAAACTCTTTGCACATGCTCAGTTTGGTGTGTATTGCTAGATAGGTTTTTATTCTTGGGAGAGTGCATGTGATCAGCAATCAGCACTGTCCTGACAGAGGTCAGGGGTTCTGCATCCTCCTAGAGCAGAAAGAGAACTCCTCCTACAAGCTTTAACCTGTGCCCTGCTGGACACTAAAGTCAAAAGACTGCTCTAACTGCTGAGGAGAAATGGTATTTAGCAGTTTATATTTACTAAAATAATTGCATTTCCATGTTGTGCGTACTGTGGGAGACCAGATATAGTGAATGCAGGGTCCCGGGGAGAGACCAGATATAGTGAATGCGGGGTCCTGGGAGACCAGATATAGTGAATGCGGGGTCCTGGGAGACCAAATATAGTGAATGCGGGGTCCTGAGTGACCAGATATAGTGAATGCGGGGTCCGGGCAGACCAGATATAGTGAATGCAGGTCCGGGGAGACCAGATATAGTGAATGCAGCGTCCGGGAGACCGGATATAGAGTGAATGCAGGGTCCTGGGAGACCGAATATAGTGAATGCGGGGTCCTGAGTGACCAGATATAGTGAATGCAGGGTCCTGGGAGACCAGATATAGTGAATGCAGGGTCCTGGGAGACCAGATATAGTGAATGCGGGGTCCGGGGAGACCGGATAGAGTAAATGCCGGGGTCCGGGGAGAAAGGATAGAGTGAATGCAGGGTCTTCACTTTAATGATATGTAGCTGTTATCTATCATTCATTTTTCTGAATCGTGTACCATACTGTCTTGAAAATTTTGTTTTCAATAAACATTCTTGGAAAAGAAGAAATTAAAATGAACCTTTCAGTAACTTTGTATGCATTATAGCCGTATTTAACCTGCAAGCAAACATTTAATATATTGCAGCTTGCCAGTTCTTCGCTGTGATGGCTGCATTCGTTTTCTTTTTCAAAAGAAAAACGTTGTCAGTTCACCCCTGGTGATGCCTGAATAAAGGTGGTGCCATTCTTCTGAAGGGGAAAGCAGATGAAGTGATAGTCAAGAGCAGGGGCGGACTGACAACTCATGGGGCCCCCGGGCAATAGGGGGTCATGGGGCCCCTGTGTCCTTGCCCAAACTCAAAAAAGCTTATGAAAAAGGTACCAGGGGCATCTCATGGGGCCCCCTACTGACCCCGGGCCCTCGGGCAGCGCCCGAGTTTCCAAATGGTCAGTCCGCCCCTGGTCAGGAGTCCTTTGACCTGTAAGACCGGTGATGCATACCTGGAAGTTCTGTATTGTAGGAGCTTGGCTCGGATCTTCCTATTTGCTATTGGCAGCCTCAGATGGGCAGGTTGATGGTCTATATTTAGATGTGTACTATAAATAAATAATAAGCGGGCTATATTTAGATGTCTGCACTGCTCTGCGGAAATGATTAGTGGGCCATTCGTACAGAAATGCTCCGTTGCATTGATTGCACGGAATGCGCTTGACGGCACGTCTTTCATTTGTGTTCCATTAGGACAACCCAATCATTGTGAACTGGCTGCCAACGCAGTGGATGCGGAAAAAAATGCAGTGCACTGCAAAGCAGGGGATGTACATTGTGGTACCTTGGTACTGTACGGTGTGTCCTGGACAATGAAGGGCACTGTGTGTAGAGCAGGTACATCACCATATGTTATAGCAATGCGGGATGCCACAATGCACACGTGTGACTGGGCTCTGTGTTTTTGTTGGGACTAGAGCTGTCCTTTAAAGCAGAAGTGTAATCTGTTTATGTTTTTGACTTCCTTGGTTCACCCGCCTCGATTGACATATTGTAAGAACATTTCCATTACATAGCTTGTTTTACACCCAATGACCCCATCACTGGGTCTCTGTGCCTTTATATGCAATGTGGCAGGGAAGTTGTGCAAAAATCAACAATGATGGGATGGGTTTGTATCGGGTTTGTCTGAAAGAGTGGGTGTTCAGAGGGCCGATTCACACCACAATTTCTGCATTCTGGATGCGTTTCTGCAAGCGCATTTTTTTTGCGTTCTGGTGCGTTTTTGCTGCGTTCCAGTGTGTCCACCCTCCTACATTTTTTCCTTTCATATCAGTTGAGGATCTGTGCGTTCTGGTACGTTTTTGATATATGTTGTTGCATTCCAGATGCGTTCCATACAGCAAACATGCAGCATTTTGCTTTTGTTGACTACACTGGAACACGTTGCACTGGTGTGAACTAGGGCCATTGGAATCCATGTTAAACACTGTCCATGCATTTTTTGATGCAGAATAAAGTGTACCAGCCTTTAACCACTTCAGCTCCAGAAGATTTTACCCCCTTCATGACCAGGCCATGTTTTGCTATTTGGTACTGCTCTACTTTAGCTGGTAATTGCGCAGTCATGCAACGCTCTACCCAAATGAAATTTAGATCCCTTTTTTTAATATCATTTTTTTTTTTTACAGAAATAGAGCGTTCTTTTGGTGGTATTTTATCACCACTGAGTTTTATCATATAAACAGAAATTGAACATTTTTTTTAACTTTGTTTATAAATATGTGTGTGTATTTACAGTTGGACAAAAAAGTATTTAGTCAGCCACCAATTGTACAAGTTCTCCCACTTAAAAAGATGAGAGAGGCCTGTAATTGGCATCATAGGTAGACCTCAACTATGAGAGACAAAATGAGAAAAAAAAATCCAGACAATCACATTGGCCGATTTGGAAAGAATTTATTTGCAAATTATGGTGGAAAATAAGTATTTGGTCACCTACAAACAAGATTTCTGGCTCACACAGACCTGTACCTTCTTCTTTAAGAGGCTCCTCTGTCCTGCACTCATTACCTGTATCAATGGCACCTGTTTGAACTTGTTATCAGTATAAAAGACACCTGTCCACAACCTCAAACAGTCACACTCCAAACTGCACTATGGTGAAGACCAAAGAGCTGTCGAAGGACACCAGAAACAAAATTGTAGACCTGCACCAGGCTGGGAAGACTGAATCTGCAATAGGCAAGCAGCTTGGTGTGAACAAATCAACTGTGGGAACAATAATTAGAAAATGGAAGACATACAAGACCACTGATAATCTCCCTCGATCTGGGGCTCCACGCAAGATCTCACCCCGTGGGGTCAAAATGATCACAAGAACGGTGAGCAAAAATCCCAGGACCACACTGGGGGACCTAGTGAATGACCTGCAGAGAGCTGGGACCAACGTAACAAAGGCTACCATCAGTAACACACTACGCCGCCAGGGACTCAGATCCTGCAGTGCCAGACGTGTCCCCCTGCTTAAGCCAGTACATGTCTGGGCCCGTCTGAAGTTTGCTAGACAGCATTTGGATGATCCAGAAGAGGATTGGGAGAATGTCATATGGTCAGATGAAACCAAAATAGAAACTGTTTGGTAGCAACACAACTCGTCGTGTTTGGAGGAGAGAGAATACTGAGTTGCATCCAAAGAACACCATACCTACTGTGAAGCATGGGGGTGGCAACATCATGCTTTGGGGCTGTTTCTCCGCAAAGGGACCAGGACGACTGATCCATGTACAGGACAGAATGAATGGGGCCATGTATCGTGAGATTTGGAGTGCAAACCTCCTTCCATCAGCAAGGGCATTGAAGATGAAACGTGGCTGGGTCTTCCAACATGACAATGATCCCAAACATACCACCCGGGCAACGAAGGAGTGGCTCTGTAAGAAGCATTTCAAGGTCCTGGAGTGGCCTAGCCTGTCTCCAGATCTCAACCCCATAGAAAACCTTTGGAGGGAGTTGAAAGTCTGTATTGCCCAGCGACAGCCCCAAAACATCACTGCTCTAGAGGAGATCTGCATGGAGGAATGGGCCAACATACCAGCAACAGTGTGTGCCAACCTTGTGTAGACTTACAGGAAACGTCTGACCTCTGTCATTGCCAACAAAGGATATATAACAAAGTATTGAGATGAACTTTTGATATTGACCAAATACTTATTTTCCACCATAATTTGCAAATAAATTCTTTCCAAATCAGCCAATGTGATTGTCTGGATTTTTTTCCCATTTTGTCTCTCATAGTTGAGGTCTATCTATGATGCCAATTACAGGCCTCTCTCATCTTTTTAAGTGGGAGAACTTGCACAATTGGTGGCTGACTAAATACTTTTTTGCCCCACTGTGTGTGTGTGTGTGTGTGTGTGTATAAATATGTATATAATTTTAATTTTTATTTCTTTTATACTACTAATGGCGGCGATCAGCAATTTATAGTGGAACTGTGCGGTGGGAAATCTGACACTAACTGCCATTGACCTCTCCAGTGAGGCTAGGTGGGCGGGGGCTCCGACACCTGGAAACAGGTAGCAATGTGCTTGTAGCTGCCGCCCCACCGCAGCATGTGTACTGTGGCAGGTCGGAAAGCAGTCACCCCAGGTTCACATCTAAGCGTTTTCTGCAGCGTTCTGCATTTTTCAGAAACGCACTACAGTCCATTTAACATGATTTCCTATGGGACAGGTTTACATCTCTCCGTTATGACCTGGTGCGTTTTTTTGGAAAGGATCAGGGAAATTTTTTTAATGCGAAAAGTTGCGTTTTTGGTTCTGTAGATTTCGTTAGAAATGCTGCAGAAAATAATGTATTGAGTTTTTGATGCGTTTTTTTGCATTTTTAAATCTGCCTAGCGACAACAAAAAAATGCAGAAACATGTCAAACGCAACCTACACAGGTGTGAACCTAGCCTTAAACAGATTGTGTTTCCATACGGACTGCCCAATGTAACGCCCCCATGTAATGCTGATCTGTCCTGATTGAAAGAACTGAACTCCAGTTAATGAAAGGGGCGGGCCAGGGACAGTCAGGCTGGGGGGGAAAGAACTAGATGATGCAAGAAAATGAGGGCGTCTCTGACTTGCTGCAGCTTCTAATGCACATTGTGAGATGCTCACAGTGTTCAGTGATATCGGAGTAAGCCATTTCGGTCTAGGAGAGGAGCCTGATGGGAAAGCATCATCTTTACCATAGCTGATTATTACTAGCAATGCCCAGTATTGGCAGAGGGTCCTCCTGTACCCAGCGATGTGCGTTGTTAGATGGCCAGACATTATGTGCTCTCCGAGACTGCTTGTCCTGATAATCTCTTAATCTGCAGATGATCCCTGTGTGCATTGCTGACCTCTGCACAGCTAGAGAGGTTGAAGGGAAAGTACAGCCCGTTTCCATTGAGCGAATATTAAGACTCGCCGAGTACAAAGTCATTTTTTTAAGGGGTTTTTTTTCGCACCTGTTTCTGTGCGATTTCCGCACTGCACCATTATTGCACCACGTTCATACGAACCGCTGCGGGTGTGTGCTTTAAGCTAGCGACACCCCGAAATCCGTTCGCAAAATGCGGTGCGATGTGCAGAATTGGATCGCATGGGTGTGAACACCCATGCGATCCGATTCTGGTGCAGACTAAAAAAGGGTCCTGTACTTTTTTTGGCGCGGACACGGGGGTGATTTGAGCCATACAGAATGTATGGCTTCGATTGCACCGCACAGAAATCGAATGTGATTTGCACAGGAATGCGATCCGTTTCTGGTGTAGACCAAAAAAGGGTCCTGTACTTTTTTGGCGCTGATACGGGGCGATTTGAGCCATACAGAATGAATGGCTTTGATTGCACCGCACAGAAATCGAATGTGATTGCACCAGAATCGGATTGCATTCCTGTGCAAATCACTTT